CCTGTTCATACTCAGAACATCCCCACATCACGAGAGGATACGAAAGGTACATACCACCGTTTACACCACCGCCACGGTTTGCGCCCACCACTGCTCCCCGCGGATTTTAACCATTCCTAGACTCATTTGGCGTGCGTAGGATTTATGTATATGTATTTATGTGAAGGTCATGTTTCTCAACAAGGCTTCCTCTAACGTTCGGTGTTCTTGGTGACGATGGACGCTGTGTGTCCAAGGCTATGGTCGGACCGGATGAGACCAACGCTTGTGATTCACCGCCTCGAAAAGTAGTTGTGTGTGTTCGAAATCGACTTCGACTTCCCATGTTTTCCCAGACAGCTTGCCGCGCGGCCATGTTCACATGCTTGGTTGCCATGGGCTGCAGCGTGGTGATTTGTTCCGCGGGGGGTGACGACGTTTCGACATCAACCCCAGGCCATGAACACCTTAGGTCTATTTGTTGTTTTTGTATTATGTTTTAGACTGCGCGTTCAAGCCACGCTTGCTTCCATCAGGTGCGCTTCAGAGTTTTGCGGGATGTCGTGAAAACTTTTACCAAAGTTGGCAAGAATGCCGTGCCTCTGAACAAGGACGCCGCAGAGAAGCCTGCAGCCAAATTCTACATCACTGAGTTGGATTTGGCCAATACTACACAAGGTCGGAAACGCCAGGTCCGTTTCATTGAGCTCATGAAACAGGATTTCGAAGAGTTTCATGGGAAGTTGGAGAAGAAGAGTGGTTCGGTCAAACTTGGCCAAGGGCAAACTTGAAAGTGGTCTGAGTTGATGCTCCGAGTCCCCGGGTACTTTAACAAAAAGTTTTCCAGAGGCTCTACATTTTGGAAGTCTCTGCCTTCTGAGGAGAAGGTTGGGTTTTGGCCATTTGGTACTCAAAGAGTGCCAAGCTCATGCGCCCCAAACATGAGCCCTAAATTTGATCAAATTATGTTAAGTTGTTAAATTTGTCAGATGTTGTAAGCGTGTGGTCATGATGGGCAGCTTCAATCAGCTTCAATCAATTAAATATAACTTCATTTTAGCCTCTTCAGTTCTGTGGAGTGCGGGTTGGAAGTTGAAAATCAACTGTGCGACAATTAGAAAGCCTGCAGCGGAGCGCGCCAGAACGCTACGCGTGGGGATAGGCTTTGAGGCGAACGCTCAAAAATACTAAACAAGATCTGGCTTGATCATGCTTGATGTTCGTCTGTCTTGATTATTTTGGATCGCGCGAACGACCAGGGTACTGGTAGCAAGAAGCTACAAGGTGGAGGCCATCGCTATTGATTGCGCGTGGAAATGCAGACTTTCGTGCTGTCAGCCACCTCTTTAGCAAAGAACATCCAAAAAACGCACGCAGACCCGGTCATTAGATGCCATTAGGTCGGAGGCCATAACTACAAGCAGCAAGAAACTTCTAGGTCGGGGCTACCGTTATTAGGTTGGAGGCCATTAATACTAGCTAGGTGGAGGCCTTCGCTGTTAGGTTGGAGGCTATTAAATTAAGAAAGAACTAAAAATAGGACAGCCTGGGTCTTCAAGTGGCCAGGTCAAGAAATTAAATAGCCGGTTGCATGGGTTAGACTACCCCTTGTTTAGTTTGTGCAGAAATCAGCCAATTAATTAAACCAAAGGTAGTTCAGAACGCCCACCAAAGGACAATTTATTTTCCAAATTAAATCAAAGTAGCTGATGAGCTCTGGTTTTTTAAACATAGAAAGTTAAATAGCGATCTGTCTCTTCTCACCACCAAGTCATTTAGTTTAGAAAATTAAACTGTATGTTTGAGGCTCTTTTGATTAATTACATGGCAGCTCATTGAGTTGGCTGGACCTCAGAACTCATTGACTTCTGATTTAATTATGGTTTTCAATGACTGAGGGATCTCCAGTTAATATTCGGAAATTTCAACCATTAGTGCTAGGTATTCACAAACACAATCACAAACGCAACCACAAACGCAATCGCAAACGCAACCACAAACGCAATCGCAAATACAACCACAAACACACAACCACAAACACACAATCGCAAACACGCAACACACAACCACAAACACAACCACAAACACCCAACCCCAAACACCATCGCAAACGCATAACCACAAGTGCAACCACAAACGCAATCACAAACGCAAACACAAACGCACAAGCGCAAACACAATCGCAAAAACAAGCGCAAACACACAACCACAAACACACAATCACAAACGCACAGCCACCAACGCAATCACAAACACGCAACCACAAACGCAATCACAAACACACAACCACAAGCACCACCGCAAACGCAATCGCGCACGCAACCACAAACACACAACGGCAAACGCAATCGCAAACGCAATCACAAACACACAACCGCAAACGCGCAATCACAAACACACAATCGCAAAGACACAACCACAAACGCGACCGCAAACACAACCACAAGCACCCAACCGCAAACGCCATCGCAAACACACAACCACAAACCAAAACAACGCCGCAATCACAAACGCGCCATGACAAGCGCGCAACCACAAACACAACCACAGCCACAATGACAAAGACGCAACCACAAGCACAACCACAAACACACTCACAAACACATCCCTCCTATTACCGCTACTACTACTACTACTACTACTACTACTACTACTACCTACTACCTACTACCTACTACCTACTACCTACTACCTACTACCTACTACCTACTACCTACTACCTACTACCTACCACCTACCACCTACCACCTACCACCTACTACCTACTACCTACTACCTACCACCTACTAACTACTAACTACTAACTACTAACTACTAACTACTACTAACTACTACTAACTACTACTAACTACTACTAACTACACTAACTACTACTAACCACTACTAACTACTACTAACCACTACCATTCACTACTAACCACTACTAACCACTACTAACCACTACTAGCGACTACTACCTACTCCTACCTACTGCTACCTACTACTACCTACTACTACCTACTACTACCTACTACTACCTA